AGAAACAGCAATGCCGTTGTCATTTTTGAGCGAGTGTCGTTGGGGCCAAGAAGCGTGGTCTCCCACATTGATGGCAATGGGCATTGGGCCAACTGTGGACAACTCATCGATTAACGCATTCCAAGCAGACCACTGGTACACCAGTTGATTAGCAACACCGTGGACAAATTGCCTGCTATTCCATTGTTGGGAACTGCGGGTAGCCCTTGCACCACTTGCTAAGAGTACATGAGCACATAAATAAAGCCTGTATTTCCATATACAGGATACCACCCTTGTACCTGCAAGCGATGTCAAGGAGCTTTGTTCAGGCTACGATCTCTGCAAGGCGACATCTCAAAATCGCCAATTGGTGCATTCGCTCGTCAAATGTCGGCTTTTCGTCCATCTGCGCTGAATGCTTGCATCAGAAAATACATAAGAGATGCAAACACTGATGATCAGCTTGTTCAGTGGTAATGGGATGATGGTAAGAGGAGCCAGGAGAATAGGAACTGGCACAACTATGTGCATATGGGGGGGAGTAGTCTTGTCGCAACCTTTATCGCTGTACAGCCCCTGTACAAGGGGAGTGCATGTGGTGAGCAGAGGACACTAAGTGCGCCGTCATACAATAACAGGACAATTGCGTGCGTCACATGTTCGTTGAGCAATCACTCGTTTGTTGAGTCGTCACTGAAGCTGCACCCTGGGAAGTGCCCACCTCAAATGCACCTGAAACAAAGAAAACCAGCTCGTAGGGGAAGTTCAGGCAGTTGTCCAGCACCCTGGCAATGTACTCGTAGGGTACAAAACTGGCGTCCACGGTCGCGGTGATCTCCTGAAGGCAACAAAAGCAAACAGACTTCCAATTCAGCACAGGGTACTGGGGGCATACTGGGGGCATACTCACCACCAAAGAACCCACAAAGATCCCCCTCCCACCCACCAGCCAAATCTCCACACCACTCGCCCCTGGGGATAGTGTACAGCAACTGCCTTGCAATGCACAGTTAATGGCCTTGGTGGGTTCGTTGCCAAGGGGTTCAATCAAAGAGCGGTGCACTTCTTTTGCTTGCAGCCTTGTGGGATCTTGGCACAATTAGACATGTTTCTGCAGCCACAGCGTTGTGGGTCACAGGGCTGAGCACACGTGGGACGTCCAGGCCCCTCTTCGAAATCTGGAACCAGCAACAACCCCAGGACAGGCGTTGCTTTGGCACCTTCACTGGAAGACAGAAACAAAAACACACCAGGCCAACAGTCTGTATCATTGAACAGTGGCATCCCATGATAAAATGGCATCCCATGATAAAACACAGAAATTGTAGGTCATTCCTCATGTTTTGGCAACAGCATTTAGCCCGGATCTGGAGAAGCAACCCCTGCGCACCGTCTGTCTGCACCCTGAAATCGACCGGCTCTGTATGCGATGCCTCTTTATGTGCTGCGTCCCCGCCGTGACATGGTAGAAGCGCATCGTCACGTTGCCAGAAACGTAGCCGTCAATGTAGTTGTAGTTTAGGATTGGTATCTTGAGCTTCACTACCAACCTGTATTTGGAGTATGTCTGGTTCAAATAGATCGTTGTGACGTTGAATGCGGAGGTCCTCCCAATGGACATCCCGCGGGGCACCGTGAAGAAGACAATCAGTATGCCACACACAAAGACCAGGCCCTGAACACATGCCCAAACAAATTTCCGCTGACTTTCTACACATCTGGTTTTTGGTTTCACTCTTGTTGTCAGCAGCTCCGATTACCAACAGAAAACACAATAGCGGCAACATTAACCTTCATGTTCCTTTGCATGAAGTGATTCCATCAATGTGTGCAACAATAGCGATATGTCAATATGGCATCAAAGCTTACATGACCAACACAGTGCTTTCCACTGTTGAACAGCGTTATAAAGTGGAAGGGCGCTCAAAATAGCCACTAGGAGGGATGTTCCACCGCAGTGCGTGCATCTGTGAAGCGGGTTGGGGCATGGCGTCCAGAGTTGAATACCAACAGGCAGGCTGACAAAGAGAAGACAATTGGACTGCTGTTCAGCCAGGTGGATTGCTCACCAGTGCAAGAATCACCCAAATAGGAAACCTCGACTTCAGCCTGGGGTCTGTGCACGCAGCCAGACATGCACACAGGGCGGTCAGGACATGTGCAGTGCATCTGCGCATGATGTTGCAAGGGCTCCATTTGTGGTTTGAAGGCAAATCTACGGACCAAGGAGTTCAGCGAGGCGTCTGCCACTGTCTGTGTGCCAAAATCTGGTGCGCGGACAAATGAACTGAAAGGGGGGAAGCAACGCTCTCAGATTCCCGCATGCCTAAATCCCCTGCAAAGTTCTCAGCTGTGCTAACGGCCAGCTTCCTCAAGCCGGGGCAACTGCAGCACAAGCAACTCGTCTGCGAGACTGGCACGCCAAAGAAAGTATCTCTTCACCGCGAGCGCGTGGGGCCCCGTTGGCGGTCGCCCTCGACACCGGGCGGCTGCCGGGCCGGAGTTGGGATGGGCGCCAGGCGCCCAGAGCGCAGACGAGGCCCTCTTGCAAAGGTGATCGCATCGACCGCACGATGCGGCGCGATCGCGAGGAGAAGCCTCAAGCAGAAACGTGCGCGACCGAGGCGCGTCCCCCCCGGACTGACGCGCCAACCCTGCCCTGGGCGCAACCCAGCCCTACCGAACATCCCGCTCCCGGTCACCCACCCGCCCAGCCCACCCAAGGTCCCACGCACGGCGACCACCCCACACGGCGGCACGCGCCCAGGCGGCCGCGCTCGAAGCCGACCGGTCGGCAAGGACAGCGGGGGCCGCGATCCGCTGCCAGGACGTCAGGCCATCCACCCCCAGGACCGCTTCCGCGACCGGCGACATCACGCCCGCCACCCGACTCCCTCCACTCGGGACGGCAGCCACGGCGGCGCCCGACCGCGGGAACAATCCCGACGACCCCCTCGCGCCCGATCGACCCTGGATCGCTCCGCCTCACGCGCCACTGGCCCGGGTCCCCCCCTTCCCCCAACCGGCAACACCTGTGATTCCAAAATCTCACCCAGCCTCTCCAGCCACCCCAAAATCGACTCCCCACCCCACCCCTTTCTTGCCTTTTGTGATGCCCTGCGTTGCAAGCTCATTATTTCGCATCGGAGACTCCACACCGTCCTTGCACAGTATTGCAGTCTCGCACGTACTTGCTCAGGAGGGGATGCCCTTTCCATGACCTGTTTCCTCCTTTCTTTTGCGAAAAATCTCACCCCACCCAACCCCTCCCCCACCCCTCTCCTCACCCGACAGGCGGATCGTGCTGGTGCCGAAACGCTGGCTGCAGTCGTGGATCAGGACCTCGTAGCCGCTCACGGGAGGCTCCGCCGGCGGGCCCCCGCAGCAGAGGATCCGCGACCACAGCGACGCGCCCGCCCCGTGGCCATCCGCCGCATCCGCCAAGCCCAGCAGCGGCGGCATCCCGTTCCCCACCTCACTCCCCTCCTCGCGGGCGGGCATGGATTGATCGCTCCCCAGAAGGCGGAGATGCCAAAATTTGACCAAGTTGTTGAAGGGATCTTCTAGGATTGTGGGCACAGTGGAATGCCGCTGGGGGCGCCTGGCGCGGCCCCCGGGGCGTTGGGCGGGCGGCCCGGTGGGAGTGAGCAGAGTCCCGGCGGGTGCAAGCTTTTGGGCCCCGGTCAGGGCGGTGAGAGCGCGGCCTGCACAGGGAAGGTACTGGGCGTTCGGGGTGACGTGGACGTGACGGGAGCCGGCATGGGATGGAAGATGCAGGTAATGCACATCGTTGAAACGCGGAAATCCCAGGCAGTGGCGCACCCCAATACGTCAAGGTGTGGCGGGGGTGGGGGGTGGGGGGGTTTGAGCCTAGGATCGAGGAGAGGGCGGGGAGTGACGTCCGGCGATCCGGGCCCAAGAGCGCTGAGTAAGCTCTTTGATTACACTTTCTCTGGTGGCGGAGGACGTCAAGGGCTGCCTTCGTCGCTGCGGAGGCGGGATTTGATGCAGAGGAGAAACGGGACATGGAAAGGGCGCCCCCTGCTAAGCGAGTGCATGCAAAAGGCCGTGCTGCTGGAAGATGACGTGGAGTCTCCGGCGGGGATATGATCACACGGCACAAGACAGGCAAAAGGCAAGAAAACGGGCACTCAGGGGCACCCAGGGGGCCCGTCGCTGCGAGGGCTGTGGTGAGTTGCGCTGCTTGATTGCCCGTGGCCCAGCAGGGGGGGGGGGGTTGAGGCTGGCGATCTGGGTCGATGCGGGGGTCCCTAGCGTGCGCCATGGGACACCGCAGTCGGATTATTGCTCATTGCGTTGAAGTTGCTAAGCTGCTGTGTCAGTTGTAGATTGGGGCTGATTTGGTCGCTTGTCTTGTTGATGTGGGGGGTGGGGTGTCTCAAACCAATTTGGGGAGGTTGTTGTACACCGATAGTACAGAAGTCGGATGTCCTGACTGCATGTTAGTCCGAAAAGCGCTTGTCTCCCAATGTTTGAGGACCTCGTGCGTCCCACAGACTTCGCAACCTTGCCAGTCCAGCGTCTCCAAACTTTTCTGTCCGAACTCAGGCCATCCGCATGCTCAGCGGCGTTGGTTCAAATCCCCGTGATGCAGATCTGCAACGAGCAGGGCGCACAACTTCCTGGTACTGGAGCCGAGATCGAATCACATGCCCAGATATCCATGCCAAACCCTTTTCACAGGGTATGCAACACCGTTCTACTTTTCCTTTGTATTAGCAACCATGAAACAACGCAATTCATCCCCCTATGCACATTTTGTGCCCTTTCTCTACTTTGCCAGCGTGTTTTTACCTGCACATTCCACAAAAGAAGTGATTGGCGAACCTCGTTTTGGTACTGCTCGTTCAGCACCATATCACACGTTGGAACCAATTAACATACTTGCAGTTCATGTGCCAACATGTGCATGTTAAATTTGCAATTCGTGATAACAGAAGAGCGCAAACCAAAGTGATGGAAAATGGACGGCAGTCCAGGGGCTCCACATGGCTTCACACCATGACAACGATACTGTCGAGGAAGAAAAGGCAACACCTGGCATTCGATGAGGAAAAGGAAATCACAGCAGTGCAATCATGTCAGCTGCAGCCATGCTGTCAGTCAACTTGTGTGGCTGCTGAACAATGTACACCACGAAGGCCCCAGCACACAGCCTTCCCGGCATGGTGCCAAGGGCACATCGCACAACGCCATGATGAAAGATGCCACTAAATGTTGCCTCAAACCAAGGGCCAGTCAGGACATCCCTGCAACTGACCTGTGCCCCTCTGCCCGCTTGGCATCCTTCCTTTTCTTGCGCCCCGATGCAGTTGCCCCCCCACTCCCTGCAGTCCCTCGTTCTGAAAGCTCCGTGGGAGATGGGGGGACATCTTTGCCAGCTGCCTTGCGCTTGCCCTTTTTCCTCCGCCCGTCCGCGCTCTGCTCGGTGTTCACCACATGCTGGGCTTCGGGTGTAAGAAAGGTGGCCATGTTCATGGCAGCACTGCGATCTTTGGACGCGTCTGTGTAACAGAACAAAGACTGAAAAACACACCGTTGCTGGCTATTCCTGCTGCACAAGGAGACTCTTGTGTTGGTGCGTTGTGTAGACAAGCAGTTCACAATATTCTTTGTTTGAATGTGTGTGACAAGGTGGTGTGTGCGGCCCTAACAGGCCCGGACAGGGTGTGCGTGTGGGTGCTAGGGAGGAAATTGCCGCTTTTTCTGCTACCTTCTTGCCACATTTTTCCTGTGTTGAAACACTCCTTGTCTGAACCAAGCAGCCAAAACCTCCCAACCCAGAGACAGTTCTCAGCACGGAATGGGAGCAGGCCCCCACAATGTGGCCACCACACGGTACATCCACCCACAGCTTGGGAAGTTTCCATGGCTGCAAAGTGCTCAGAGCGCGGAAAACAGGTTCATTGCAGCACATTTACCCACCTGAAGTTCGCTTGCTTCGCAGGGACTGAACAAGCTGCTGCACATCTCCACCTTCCTCCTGATGGTGCCCATTGCTTGGGCGTTCAGCCACAGGTTCCTGCAAACATTCCGACACGACTGCTCTCCGATCTCAGCAAACGGGAAACTGTGTGAGCCCTGCAAGTCGAAACCGAACTCTAGGAGGTGATTTGAGTGAAGCAATCCCCACACCATCATACAAAACGGACACCTTTCCACACACTGCAAGAGCCTCCACAATTTCATCTGTCGAGCGTCTCCATACCGGCACGGTCCCTGCGTTCCCATTGTGCCACACAGCTGGGCTGCCGCAAGTAGGGATCCATATGGAAGCAAGAGCTGCAGACGGTTCCAGAACATCGGTGGCGCACAGCTTTGAAAGCACACCCAGCCATGTACCCAGAATTTAGGAAACAGGAGGTAGGACTCCAGGTTTTAATGTGGGATTCCAGCTAATAGGATGGATCACTGCACAGTCATAGTCTGTCAAATCCAGCAATCTTCAAACACCAACTAAGGAAAAGTTAAAATGTGGTGCAGTTGCGCTTCATCGCTATGACAGGACAACATGGCCGAAAATCGCCAATATGAACTGCACTTGCATTCCTTACAATGTGTGTAGAGGAATGCAAAGGCAAAGTCGCACGTCGCACGTTTGGCTCCCTAGCACATTGAATGGAACAAAACTGTGTGCAAGTGCACTGGGCTTGTCAACTTGGTCTGTGTCAGCCATTAGCCATCCCAGTGGCACAATGGCCTCACCTCCCTGCTATCTTGCAACCTTCTCTCCTCCCTCTGAACCGCTTTCTCTGCCTGCTTCTTCTTTTTCTCCTGCTTCTGGCGCTTCCTCTTCTCAAAGTCGCTCTGCCAGTACTCGCCTGTTTCCATGAGCAGGTCCTCCTTCCTGGGCATCTGGGGAGGTGGGAAGGGCGTATACTGTTTCTTGTCCTTGAGGCCCTTGGGTTTCTTGCTCTTCACATTCCTCTTTTTGAAGTTGGGTAGGAATCTAGGCAGACAGCTATGGGGATTCAAAATGGAATGTGTACGCAGGTCAGGGTCAGGGATTGCAACAACGGTGTAGGCCAGGCTGCAGAATGAACAAAAGAATGCACAACTGCTCACAGCAAATGACATGAGTTACTCCAGGACCACGACAGTTGGGGGTGCGAGCAAAAACAAAGAGATGGAGTGATACCAAGAGATGACGAAGCTGACATGTTGGGCTTCGACACTGAGGGCTGTGGTGAAGCATGAAGAAGGGGCGTGGCACAACAGATGATGCCGAAGTGGCAGACACAATCAAAAAATTCGCAAACCACTTGCAACAACTCCATTCGAACTTCAAAATCCGAGTGGTTAGTGCACTGGTGTCCTTCTCTTTACCCTCAGGACGCGCCAGAGCTCCGATTTTTGGACATTAGCAGCATCGCAGCAGTGTGCATACAGAAGATTTTTGCACTCATGGGGGGATGCCAAAATGAGAATCAGAAAACGAACCTGTCCCAGTTCTCTTCAGCCATCGCAGGGTCCTTGGCAAGTTCCCTCTTTATCATCATGGTCTTGATGTGGTAAATGGGGTGCTTGTTGTTCATGCAGTCCTCCACCACCTTCCTCACCTGCTTCAGGCCCTTATAGTTGCCCATAGCGGCAACCGCGTTGCCTTGTACCAAGACATAGCAGCCAGTCAGCAGCTCCAGGGCCTTCAGAGTGGAACCACTGGGACCTATAAGCCTCTGCCGGCGCTTGACAAAACGGGCCTGTGAAAAACAACATTGACCCATCAATCAGATTGTGATATTTCACAGCTCCCTTGCCCACCTGGCGATGTTGCAGAACCATTTGATTCTGACATGCTCTTGTGTTTCTAAATTGGGCAAGCCAATGCCAGAAGTTAGCACCTTACAACAAAGCATGCAAATGGTCAAATGTCGCCAGAGCCTTGACAGTGCAAGGGTGGCGATCTTCCATACCTTGGTAACGGGGATCTTTGGAATGTTCGCCCTAGTCACAAGGCTGTGTTTAGTATTTTAGGCATGGCCAGAGCACAGTTCTTTCTTGATGGGGTCCAGTTGGGACATTGTCTGTTAATAAAAGTACTTGCACAGCTATTTCTGGCCTTGTCCTGGGTTTTTCCAACTATGCAGTATGTAGGAAGTTTTGTTAAACAGAAGATGACGCTCACAGCAGCGTGGGGCCGCATTGCCCATAAAGTATCCTGAATGTCGCTGTAGCTACAACCCCAGTGGGTTTGATGCAGAAAAGCCATGTGTTGGCAACCTTGATTGATTGACTGAAGCCAGCCTGCTACGCACCTTGTTTGTAGTCATGCCAGAGATCTTGATGATGTCACAAGATACATCATCATGCAGAATTTTCAGGGCCTGCATAGGTACACATATGGCAACGCTCAAAGTAATGCAGGCAAGCCCAGTGGAGTCTCACAGAGTCTCACACACACAGAGAGGGCACATTTCTATATTGTGGCAATGGGATATCCTCTTGCCCCCATCCCTCCCAACACCCTTGACCCATCCCAACCATACATTATGTGCAGAGTTTGTCCATCTACAATAGGGGTCCTGTGTCCCCAGCTCAAAATCATTACTTTGCGAAGCAACTGTCGCCACAGAATTCCTGCAGGCCCCGCTTATATCCTGCTGGGGCATCAAACCTGGAGTGGCGTTCGATCGGTCTTTGCAGCAGCACCAGCAGCACATGCCAACTGACCGAAGGTTACTGACGTTATCAAACAGTGCTGCTGACCTGGGGAGCAGGCACGCTCCTGGCAAGCAGCTTGATCAAGTCCCTTGCTTTGATAATGATGTAAGGATCCCAAGCCTTCCTTGTGGTCTTGACCTTCATGTGCCCCTCCACCTGTGCACCCAATCCACACATCAGCATCCCATAGGGGCCGATCATATGCAGCCACAAATCGCTGCATTTCATGATCATGAATAGCGACAGAAGAAAAGGGAGTGCCAGCAGAAATTAGATAGAAGAGGAGTGGACATGAGAATGGCCTTCTGCAGCCGAAGGGAAACATGTGCAGGAAGGGTGCCCACCTGCTGGGCAAGAACCCTGTGGGAGGTTTTTCCACACTGCACAAGAGAGGGCAGAGGCGCAATAAAGCTGTGGATACACTGATGGGGTTTTGACACATGGTGCCAAAGGGATCTCTTCGAATTTTCTTTGTTTTGTGTTCCACAAGCTGCGCACTACTTCCCCAGTTGAAAGTACTTTCCAAGGCACAAATCCTGGATGGACACTGTTGTACTACTTCTCAAGGCAGTTTTCTTACCCAAAATGCTAATGGATGCATTCGCAAGGCGCACAGTGACACTGGCCTACCCTTGAGAAGCAAAACACCAATCTCAAAGCCTGGATTGGATTAATCCATGCAATACCCTTGTCAGAATAGCCTTGACAGACATTGGCCTTGCACCCAGCAGGCAATGAAATGCCATAATTCACAGTGAATTGGGCAATGTGGTTCACAACAATAAGAAATGTTGCAGCACGGATGGCTCCAAACGACTGATCAAAGGCCACCAGCACTATGAGCTGCCATTGTTTCCACCACAGGTGAATGGATTAGGTATGGTCAGTTCTCACCAGGGCCATTAAGAATGATGTCAACTGAATTGGAGTTGAAAGAGGTCAGCTTGTTATTTGGAACCAACAAAATGGAAGTCCAACTCCAGTAGATGCTTGACAAAGCAAAAATGTCAAAATATGCAGAAAACTGGTGGCCCAAACAACGACAGCAAAGCAGCAGTCTACCCCAACAATTGTGGTCCTTTGTAAATATTTCCATTCCAATTTATTTATTACATCACATTGGGTGATGTAATGTTCTCGAATCAAACACAGAGAAAATGGTCCCATTGTGAGGGCAACAATCTGTCTCTTGAACACATGGGACCTTTCTTTGCAACGACTTTGTCTCAGGCAACATGCTCATCGTGAAAATTGCGCTCAACACTGGACAGATGAGCAGCCATCAGCGCCCATACTCACTAAGTTCAGCTCCGCCTTGATGCCATGGCTGTCAAGTGCTCTGACAATAATGGGCCAAACTTCTTGCAGGTATTTTTCTGCAACAGAAACAGCTGATGCTTATAAGACAGCAAGCCAAACAATCAGCCGCATCAGCAAAACAAATCAACAAGGGCCTTAGTGACCATACCATCACTTGCCTTCACTGCACTTTGGCGGCCAAGAATCCAGCCATCATGAGCCACATTGGGCTGTGGTCCTGCTGAAAACTGGGCCAGGCAATCGGCATTGTGGAGTGGCAGCGATTCCACTTGTTGCAGGTGCTGCAAAAACTGACCTTTTGGCACTGTGTGTAGAAGTCGACATTGTGCACAACACCAGCTGCGCACAACTGCATCCATACCAGCCCATTTCTGGCCATGTGCTGAATTTTCAATGTTGAGGGCTACCTTTGTAACCTTGAGTAACACGCTGAATTCATCGCATTGCAACATGCACTTAGATCCTATACACAACTGTTGATTTCATCACAAAACATAAGATCATCTCAATTACATTTTCCAAGTTCGATGAGACATGCCAAGGCACCAACGCTGCGATGAATGGCCATGCTGCAACCTCACTGTCACACCCCGATTGCTCATGGAGTTTGTCAACAATGAGCCAACAAAATCCCATAAAGTAAATGATTCAAAGCAAAACAACAGGAGCCACCTTCCAAGGTCCAAGCTGGTGCTGGGGGGCTGCCATAGCTTGGCCACGTTCAACAACTGTGACCCCAAGAGCCCACAGTCAAGAGCCTGACGTGCCTCTGTATTTCGGGAACAGCACAGCAAAAGAGCTCTCCTCCAGGAGACCAGTGGGGTTATCCTCCTGTGTGAACTTGGGCAGCGCCCAGTGGTCGATCCCATCATGGTCCCAGGGCTTGTCCTTCCTGTACTGTGGCCAGCCACAACATACAACCATAGCCTCAGTCCCTCTACATTTGTCTCTGTTATGCACTCTGTGGCTTTGGGTGGACATGGCTGGCCCCATGTGGTTCCGGTTTGGCATGTTGTGCATATTCTGGAAGATTTACTAGCCTGGGAGGCAGTTTCCAAGCACCACAGTTATAAAAATGGCCAAACAATGCACTCACATCTTGCAGGCGATGGTGGCCAGACAAAGTTCCAATCAAGAGCTGTTTAATTTCTTGAAACAATCGTTCCACACCCCACCCAATTGCACAACATGCCAAATCGTGCAGGGAGCCCAGAGGTAGGACTGAAGCGGCTGGGCAAAAAAGCAGACCAAAGGCAAGAAATGAGAGTTCAGCGCAAGCAGTCCCTCACTATTGTCTTGTCCATTCAGTGCTTTCAGGTGGACAACACCAGCTTCACACAAGAAGTGCGATTTTGCCGGTCATGCCAATGCTGGAGACTGGCGAGCAAGGATTGGAGACAAAAGCATGCCGAGTTTGCCCTCCCTGCTTGCCATCAGCAACATTCTGTTGTGACTGCTCAAAGGCAAAGTGGCCTCAGCAACAACAACTTAGTCAGCTGCGAGTTGACGGGATGCATGCATTCGTCCTGCTGTTCTTGTTGCTGATCAACTTGCCTGGTGCTTTAATGCATCCAACACAAGTCAACATCCCCAGCTTAATAGCATCTGCACAAGTTGATGACCTCGTGCCACAGCTGGTCTGTTGGAATATCCAGACTCCTGTGCATTGTTGTGCCTGCGCACTGTACACTATTGGCGTGCGCGCAGCAATGACTACAAAGAGCAATATGAGCCAGCCTTTTCAAAAATGTCAGCCGTTTGTTTCAAACCTATTCTTGCACGAGCTTCCAAAAGTTTTTATGTGATGCTGTAAGATTTCCGTGCTTTGTTGTGAGGCGTAATTCTCAGCCAGTGAGGTGTTGCGCTTGCGCAGCTGTGTGTTAAGTTACGTTGTCTGGTCGAATGTAATTCCTTCCCCTGTATGTTTGGCCACACAAAGGGCTACGTTGTTGACAGGCCTTGCATTTTCTTCTTGGGCGACATAAGACCTACAGCCCTTCTTTCGCACGGGGGTGGCATCCAGACTCCTAAATGGGAAATAACTGAATGGGATTCGACCGTTGGAATGAAAACCAAAATGGGGCTGAGGTACTGTGCATCCCTTAATTGGCCTTCAAGCGACAAGCAGGATCGCAAGCGCCGTCGACCACCAGCCTCAATACAATTGTCTTTCACAGGAATCGCGTGAAAAGGGAAGCGCCAACACATGCAAAACAACGCGTTCGCAACGCCCCGGTTCGTTTCTGGTTTGCCATGTGGACTGACCGCCAGAGCCACCCATCTCTGTGTCAATATTCCGCGTCAGGGGACCAAGCCAAGCTGGCTGCAGTGGGATTTGTGGCAGAGCAAAGTTGGACCTGCGCTCCCAAGCCTTGGGCGGATGGTTGCGGTGCAGTGGATTGGCCGGGGAGAGACAATTATCGGGTCCAAATGCAGGCGAGCAGCACGCTTGCGCGTGGCGGGTCGGAATCCAGCGAACAAGTGGCGCCGGCGCACCTTGTTCTTCTTTGACTTGGGACCTTGTTCGGCCCCGCCTTGTGGCGGAGGGCCCCCGTTGGCCGACATTCCAGCCGCCCGCAGCGCCAAACTGGGTTTCGGGCGCTGGATGTTGCCACATAATTGGTCCCTTCCCCTGGCCCCCCGCGCAGTGCACTGGTGTACTGTAGGTTTAGGTACGTGTACTGCGGGTTTAGGACTGAGCATGGAGACTGCTGGCATCCGGTGCACCCCGGCACACAATTACTGCCTGCACCAAATCGGTGGCTTTCTGCACTAAATCGGTTGCTGCTTGCACCAGCTCCCTCCAAAACTTGCCTAACTTAAAACCTAAACCTTAAACCCTAAAACTAAACCTGTCCTAACCCTAAAACTCACCCTAAAACTAAACCTAGCCCTGAAACTGAGATTAGGACATAGTGTGCACGTGATTTAGTGGAAACAGTCACCGATTTGGTGCAGGCAGTAATATTATTTCGTGCACCCCACACCCAAGCCTTGTGTATGTTTCTGGCGTGTGCAGTCGACAGGTGAAACCCCACGTTCAGTCATGGAAACTTCTGCTGGAAAAGAAACTTTGCATATTTTACGTTTTGTGGGGGAGCTCCTCTGTTTATCTTTGGTGTAATAGGTTGGACTTCCAAAAAAAGTCATGGAAACTGGATGCTTCACTCCAAGAAGGGTACGAAAGGCCCTCGAAACAAAGATCGTGAAACTCCGTAAGCAACACACGGCACTTGCAGCATCTGCCCTTCCATTTCTTCACTGAAGCTGGGCGTCCTGTCCCACAGGGCCGAACAGGGCCCGCTGCTTTCTAATCAAGGACGCGTGGTGGGGCAACAGCAGACGTTTCAGTTGAGGCTGTTGGGTTTGGGTGCGACAATAGGCGATGGTTCGATGCTTAAAGCGGGCGATGACATCATTTGCCCTCATATTGCCGACGCAAACGTCACCCCTCGCAGAGAAGGTAATTATGCTGGCAGCAAGTGGCTTTTGATCCTCCGTTTAATCGCACCTGTGAGACCCAGAGCGTGCAAATTGTGAATGTTTGTCATGACCAAGTAACGCAGCGTATCCCCAAGTGTCGTGTTTCAACACATTGGTGGCCTGCTATTGTTCACTGCCAGCAGCGAGATGCAAGAGCTGTATCCACGGCGAGGGCATTCATCCACCAAGTGCAGCGTGCAGCACATGGATATGCTAACCAACAGAGTTCTCGAAAATAGGGGCTAGATCAACTGGACGTCTGCCTGCCTTGCTGCCACAGAAGAAGAACATGTTGCGATGGAAGCCGCCGTGCATCACCAAAAAGATGGCGTCGTGGTTTGGTATCCACCCACATCCTGCACCACCACATCCCTTGTACATTGCTGTTGCCTATTCCTGTCTGGGCAGGTCGTTTGCAATCCACAAGAACCATACAGGTCTGAATCCACACGAGTGATGGAGGTCCCACTGGCGGCCACCGAAAAATCCCTGAAGTGAAGCGCTGGGTGCAGAGAAGCAGATTGTTTGCTGATTCGGGCTTTTACTCAAGGAAACATGCGGTGCCAGGTTGTCATTTCACCAGTGTGTGCCCTTGCCACCGATGGCAAGCCACGGCGGGTGCCAATCGACATTAAGCTCTCCAAACAATCTACAGAATGACACACACACGAGCGACAAACAGAAGGGAACAGTTCCATGAAACGCTGCTGGACTGCAGGGTACCACTGGACGAAGACTGCAACTTTGTTTGTGTGAACCCATCACAAGTCCCAAGCCCATCCTCCATTTTCCAAATAGCCCCACACATCTAAAAATGCTGTGTCCTTGCCCCTTGATGCAATGAGTTGGGCCATGAGTACGATTGCCAAGCAAAGGCCTACCGCTAGAGAGTCCCACCTGGAACCATTCATTTCCCAGCATCCATGGAAGCAGAACTATTTGGGCACGCTTGTGTGTGTGGATAGATCCCACTGAAGCTGGGCAAGGGAGCCCAACCATTGCGATTCTCAACGCACCGAGCCGGAGCAGTGCACAGTCCTCCGTATTTCCCAAGGCCTATCTGGGAGACCGTTGGCAGCCAAAGAAAATTCAGCCTCCATGTGGGACATGACCGCCCATCCTTCAGTGACTGCCAGGCAAAGAGACTACCAGTGCAAAGCACACACCAAGCCCCACCTGCCCCACCGAGGGACACAGTTGCTTCGGAACTTCCACTGTCCATTCTCTGCCTACATCCAGTCTGGCAGGGCACCCCCCTGCAGGTCTGCCTCGCTGGCACTCCCGATGCCTTCGAATGCTGGGTGCTCCATCAAGGCCTGTAGCAACTGTGTACCTCTCAAGCAATTGGTCAGTGGCATGTGGCCCTTGGGCGCCTCCAAAGAATAGTCAAACCCGCCTGGCCACTGCCGGTAGTTGTTGTTCTCGCCCGTCGTCCAGCTCACCTCCTTGAAAAACCTTGTCCAGCGCTTTTGGCACCTCAGGAACACCTCCTTCTGTGCAGAGTAGCCAAACTTGCCGCCACTGGCGGCACGCCACAGGGAATCGATAGTCTTCATATCCGCAATTGGTATGAATTTCACTTCAGACCAGTACACCCATCTGTGACACACACCGGCCCAGTGAGTGCATGTTGCCTTCTCGACATTGTTCCTTGTGTTGTAAGGTTCACTGCTGTGCTTTCCAAGATTTCGTGTCTGTGTCATCAGCATGAGCATGAGACAAGCTTCCGAAATTCTTTACAATGGGGCAGACTCAGGTGCCAATTTCGCAATTTCTCTTGGATGTTGCAGCATCATCTTTTGCATGTGTAAAGGAACGAATGTTATCTTTCTGACAGAGGAAGTAGGCCAATCAATGGGCACGCTGTTAACAACAACACAATCTTTTAGTACAATGGAGGGTGTGTCCAACCCTGTGCAAGGAAGTCAGAGGTTGATGCACCCTTCCTATTTGCAAGGAAGGCAAAGCCAGAGAGCAAGGGGGGATGGAATGTTGTGTAATATACTCCAGTTGGTGTCCATTCAAAAGGGAATTGAGCACCTCACAAAATATTCTAAAGACAGAATCAGACTGCAAAGATCGATTTATTTGTGCCATTGCACAAACTTGGATGAAAAGCGGACCAACCCGTGGACCTCCAATGCAAGATACTGACGTGCTACCAAAGTCCCACAGCCAGGGGTGGCCATATGTGTCTTCATCGTCCAATCACTCCTCATCATCCCAACCCAGACACCCACCCGCCCCAAGCAATGCAGATGCAACATTCGGACAGAACACCGCCCTAGTGGCAGTGTGCCCGTCATCGCCTGGCGGCCACGAGGCCGTTCGCCAGTACCCGACGAAACACAGTGGGGCCATTTCAACTCGCAAAGGCAAATGTGTCACAAGGGCTTCACAACCTTCCATTAGATGGCTTGCATTCCCAACCTACGGCTGAAGGCCCCCAGAGTTCACGTTTTCTTGCCTTTATTGTTGCCAGTGTTGTGTGCTCATCACTTCGCATTGGGAGACTCTGCATCATCTTTCCACAGCGTGCAAAAGGGTCTCACATACGCTTGCCTGGGCAGGGGTGCCCATGGTACGACCCGTTCTTCTCTTGGAGTGCAACATGAGTGACACGAACACTGGGACAAAGAATGGACACACAGCTTGTGCAGCTTCGTGGCGACATAGCCCTCGGTGGCCGACGCCCAAAGAATATAATTTCATCACCATCATCTTGCAGTGCGACCAGCATGTTTATGCTGCTCGGAGCGGAGTCGGGTTTAGCGAGCGTTATGTAATTAAGGAAATCATCATCATCATCATCTTGCAGTGCAGCGGATCTCATCACCTGCGGCTGACGGCGTCCGGCCCGGCCATCTCCACCAGCCGGGCCCGCGTCTCGTCGCCCGCCTCGCGGAAGAGCCCCTCGCGCAGTAGCTCCCTCAGCTTGACGTAGTCCTGCCCCGCCTCGCTCTCCAGTTCCACCTCATCCAACCCCTCCGGGCCATCGGGCGCCGACGCCTCCTCGCCCGCGGGTGGCGCGGGCCCCAGCAGCCCTTCCAGGGCCGTGCCAATCGAATCCTCCCCCGCCGATCGCACCACGACGCCGGGAGATTCATCCAATCTTGCCCCGGGCAGCGGGCCTCGTGCCAGCAGGCGGGGCCCGTTGCGCTGGCCGTGCAATTGCCCGATCAGCCAGCGGTGGTGCGCATCCGAGGGCGGGGATCCCGCGCCGATGGCGGCATCACCAGTCCGGATCGCGCGGGACAGCATGGCGGGCTGGTGGCCGCCGGCCGCACCGAACCACCGTTGCCGACTTCGCCCAGCGGGAGCTCAACGCCGGCGCTCGCCTCCCATTGCCTCGCGCGCCTTTTTGGGCGCCGGTTTGGGACGGCCTATCACACGGCCGCGGATGAAGGAATCGGAAAAAGGCAAAGAGGTCAGCAGGGCGTCCAATCGGCGTCGCCGCTTTTTCGCCCGGCCCCTTTCTTTCGTGGCTTCCTCCCTGACTGAACCACGGGCCAACCCCAGATTTTGTCTTCGAACACAACGAACGGTGGAGTCAGCAGCAGCTTCCGCGCTGGGGCCAGCTCCACCTCCCACACTCAGGTCACACTGCGCGCCGCCGATAAGCCGCCTGCCCTGCGCTTCCCTCCGCGCAGCCTTGCCAACCCGGCCCTGCCCCCTCCACTCGCACCCCCGCCCACGGCCCAACCCCTCCGGTGCCATGGCGATCGACGAAGAGGTGCTCGCGCTCGCCGAGGTGAGGTGTCCCCCACTTTCTTCCCCGGCCGGCCCCGCGGCCTCCCCGCTTGGGCGCCAGCCGCGCGATTTGCGATTTTGCGATTCGCCGTTTGCCATGGAACGATTTCCGCCTGACGGTTCCCCTGTGCCCTCAGCCGGACAGCGCCGAGGAGTCCAGCCTGGAGGCGTGGTACATGGACGACACGGACCTCGACCAGAGGCTCCCGCACAGGTGGGATGTGGCCCGAGATCCTCTGGGTGGTTGTAGTTGTCTTCGTGCGCCAAAAGGGGATTCAAGGGGCAACGCAGAGACGACCAAGTGCGCGTTCGAGTATCCATGCCCGCAGCGGGGCCACCGCCTGCGTGGTTGGCCGCGGGCCACGCTGTTGGTGATAAGATCACGCGGAATTGGGCTGTCAAGCGAGCCGCGTCAACGTCTCGATACGGCAAATCCCTGAGTGTGTCTCAACCACCCCCCAGGGCGCCATCCCTAAGATGGGCAATCTGGTTGATTGAGAGGACGATTGGGGAGGTGTAGGCGGGGCGGATCTCGGGGGCGGGTGCGCGCGCCCGCGGAGGAGAAATTGTTCCGGGTGCAGGGCGTGTCATGCGGCGTCGGATGTCCGGCGGAGTCTGCCGGGGCGGATGCGATCGCCAGGGGCACTGTGGGTTGGAGGACGGTCTGGCTGGAAATTGTCGCTGAGCGCGGAGAGGACGCATTGAAGCCGTCGTCGCGGGTCCGTTTGTCGAGGAAAATCGTGGCAAGCTTCGAGAAGTGCCGAATGGTTTCAACAGACTGTTGCAGGGGCACCAGCAAAACCTGTTGTGGCAGCCTTGTGGGCGCCTGTGGCTTGCCTCGCTTCGAACCGCGCACCGTGGCCACTGCCCCACGCGGCGAGGAGCCCCGCACCGTGCAGATCCTGGACAGCGCAGTCTTAACCCCCAATTCCCCCAATACCCCGCCCTCCGGACACCTGATCCAATCCCGAACAAGGAGCTGGATGCCGGGACAAAGTTGCTGGCGCTGTTGTTTCGAGGTTTGGAATCTGTGCATGCTCCCAGCGGTTTTTCCACTTGCAGAGAGCATGGCTGGATTCTTTGAATTGCAACTGTGGTAGGGGCTGCAATCCCTGCCTTTTCCTTACAAGACAAACTTAAACCAGGGCGTTCAGCCTGGGCATGGCAATACCAATGCCGTTGAATGTCGAACGTGGTGGTTTGGGTGCTGAGCATTCGTCGACTGTGGGCCTCAGCCTGGGGCACTTCCAAGTGACGCTGACTTACAATCCGCCTCGTTGCAACTTCCTGCCAGGAAGAACCCTAACAAGCCATGTTCTGTGGATACACTTCGTGCCCTGGGGGTCCTGTCATGGTCACTGGACGCAGACAACTATGAGGAAGATGCCAAATTCAAGGCCGTTAAGGAGGCCAGGGGCTACAACTATCAGGTACAATGCGCTTTTGTGGTTTGCAGGCAAGACGCCATCATTCCCTCATACCCATTTGTGGCTCCGGGCCTGTTTCTGCAATTTGCAGCATAGGCCATGTGCTTGCGCTCATATTGGCCCCTGTACTGCATTGTGGTACTGATACGATTCTCCAATCTTTGTTTTATATGCCAATCCGCTTTTTCCTTCACCACGGGTCCTGGGCCTGCATCCTGGTGTTGTCAGTCTCACAGTTATATTTATGTTATCAGTTGCTGTCTGGGCTTGTAATAAAAATAATTTAGCTGATCATCAACGTGCCACTTGTATGCTTGCATCCCTTTGTTCATGCAAATTTGCCACCTGGACACTCATTCATCACAAACCTCTTTCAGGTTCCAACAACCCGATCCTTTAAAATGGGTCATGCTGCCCCCGCTGGCAAGATGCTGTTGTTGAGAATATTTCAGGAACTTGAATGGATACACTAGGATTATCATTAGCACAGGTAGGGATAATGTGCAGTTCAGTGTCGAATATGCAGTGTTGAATATTGCTGAATCTATTTGGCGTTGCTGAACCTGTTTCAACTGCTGGACAACAGCAGAAGCTGCACTCCTATCGCAAGCACTGACCAGACATGGGCCTCTTCATCTGTCCAGGACTTGGTCAACTGCAGCCCAGACACCATGCCCGGGTTTGATGAGAAGATCAAGATGTTCTATGAGGAGCACATTCACGCAGATGAAGAGATCCGGTTCGTCCTGGATGGGTCAGGTATGGTTCTCGTCCATTTGGATCCATGCTCGTGCATCTGCTGTTGTCACGTTTGTCTTTCCAAGACAAAGCACAGCTCTAACAGGTATTCTGTTGGTGCTATGAGACCTCTGCAGAAGCACCGAGGTGATCAGCTGCTGTGTGACTTGTGGACTGCAAAGTTGTCCTGCTGCTGTAGCAGTACGGTATACTATAGGCTCACACTGTTGCACCAACAGAATGGCCAGTAGCTTGCAGCAGACGGATTACAACATTGAGGTACGCATTGCTCGTGCAACCATGCTCGAGCGGTGCACATGCACACACATACTTTGCTGCAAATCATGGGCCAAGTCGCACCAAACTTGCAACCCTGGTACCGTAAACCCCATAACACCCACACACAACCACTTTGCTCCCAACCAGAGCGAGTGCCAAAGCTGCGCTCCAAGTCGCCCGCCCTAAGGACGTTAGCACACCTTTCTGGAGTGACTGTTCACGGCAATCGACCCGTTGCGTCGATCGCCACAAACAGAATTTTCCCACTCGCCTCAGTTGGCGGCCTAGGAGGCACCTCTAATTGCTGCACCCAGGCTGCCAAGCCTCTTTGAAGTGAAAGACCACAGCGATCGACCCGTTGGATCATTCGCCGCGACGATGCCTGAACACGCCCCGTTCCCTCCCCATGAAAACTCCCACTCGTTCTATTCTGCGGCCAAGAGGCGCCAAGAGGCACCCCAAAATGGACGCCTAGCTTGCTCGAAGTGAGCGACGAGCGACCGGTTGCGTCGATCGCCTGGAACAGATTTTTCAAATTGGCTTCCCCAAAACCCTCTATCCCACCCCGATGCCCCTCCCAAACGCGACTGGAGCCAAGGCCGTAGGTGATGGCAATCGCCACTTCAAGGTTGGAGGTTGCATGATCAGTGTGACTTGACACAAATGAAGATGCAAACATTGCCACTCATCTCTGAGTGGTGGCCCAAGGCTATTGGTATTCATTCATTGCTGTAGTTTTGTCCTGCCTAATCTTGTTGGTGAAACGGTGGTCTCTTTCACAGCTATTGTGCCCGCAAGCAACTGACATGCCTGCAGTATTTGCAATACGACGAATTTCTGATGTGTTGTTAGCATGATCTGTCAGCGAGGACGAGTGCAGTGGAATGACTTGCACACACAACGGCACCTTTCTGATGTGCACATCCTCACATCTCTGCTCTGTGCAGGCTATTTTGATGTGCGCGATCTGGAAGACAAGTGGATCAGAATCGAATGCACAAAGGGGACCATGATCGTCCTGCCAGAGGGGATGTACCACCGATTCACCCTGGACACAAAGAACTACATCAAGGTACATGCAACGCTCATACTTTGCTGGAAAATGGTCAGGATGATTGAGAGTTTGTCACAGTGAATTTTGATGTGAATGGATGTTTGGTTAGTTGATGGAGGCCACCACAGTACACAATATTAAATGCACCCGAGATTGTGTATTACTACAGGGTCCATCTGCTAGCATCTGTATCTGCTACCCAGTGCATAAAGCTGTCCCCGTTAGGCACTAGTGAATCACCTGGGACCAGTGGTTCGTTCTGAATCCTGTTGTCCTTCGCAAGGATGATGTAGAGCTGGAATTGAAAAGTAGGACAACTCCATGAAACCATCATCATATCTCAATCTCAGGCATCGCTACGGCCTCCATCGTTGCAGGTCACATCTGTTGTGACTGCATGGGGTTTTGGCGCATGAGTAGGGTGAATAGGTTGTTGCTGTTGAAGGATATTGGGAATCTTGCCATGATCCCAAGCTGTGACTGTGAGCTGCACTGAGTCTGCTGAGCTGCGCTTCGAAACTTCCACATGGTCTTCTGCAGCGCGGAGAAGAGTCTCACTCTGATCTTGCTCAGAAAGTTTGGTGCCCAATGCAGAAGTGTTTTGTGAAAGGTTCATCTTCGGCTCATATTGCCTAACTGACTAACAGGCATCCACCAATTTCTGCCCGCTGGACTTCATCGTTTGCTGGTATGCTCTGTGCCAGGCTCTGCGTTTGTTTGTGGGAGAACCTGTCTGGACGCCTCACAACAGGCCACAAGACGAACACCCTTCCAGGATAAAGTATCTCGAGTCCATGGAGACCTGTCAGACCACGGCGGCCACAGCCTGAGATCCTGCTGGCTGTCCTGAGGTGTGCATCGAGCAAGGAATTCGGGATCTCTGGGAGATTTTCCGCCCAAAGGCAGTTTCTCATCATATCGAAGATACTGTTTGGTTTGGACACAGGGATGTCGTATGCGGACGAATGTTGCTTCAGTGCAAAATTTAGCACTGGGAGAAGTCTGGGCGCTTTGGAGGGAGACTGTTGGTTGGCACTCTTCCTATATCATTTCTTTCTTGAGGTGCGTCCTTGTTGTAGCTTGCTGTTTGGCATGGATAACACTGTTGTTGTCATGATTCTCGCTGTTTGGCATTGTTGGATGGGGAACTGGGACAGCCTGATTTGGACGGATGTTGCATGAACTCGCAGTGTCACCGTGGGGAAAGCCCAGCTGCCTGTGAGGGAATCTGTCAGCAAGCAGTCTTAGTGGATCGTATTGTGTGGCCTGTTTTCCTGAATGGAGCTTCTTGTATCTGTACTGCAACTGTTTACTGGCCTGATTGAAATTTGGCATCCCATTAAATGCGCCAGCTCACTTGCACTGTCAAAGACATACGTTGAAGGTAGGCGTCAGACAACTGCCAAACTGCCACACATACAATTGATTCCTAAGCCCAAACGAATGCGCAACTCGAAGTCCGTGAGTCGAGATGTACATTTGTGTGAACTTGCCCGTATGTCGAGTGAACATCTGAACCTTCCGTATGTACTTACTCATGCTGCAGTACCAGGGAATCTTATAACGCTGGAGCCCTGGGGGCTTCCCATTCTCTAAAATAACGTGCCACGAGGCACTGAGAATGCTCGGCCAGGTGCACACAGCGAGCACACCTCATTCCTCTTTCGATGCTCAGCCTTTCTACCCAGTAATTTCCTAGTGGGCCCCAAAGACCCGAAAGACCACCAGACTGAGCAGGCTCAAAATCGAAACAAACCCGCTGGGAATGTGCCATGGTACCCCTGATAGTCTGAATCGCACCTGCGACGCAGAGTGTGTCAGTGCGTGTCCCTGAGCCCAGCCAGAGAATGACATCTGAACAGCGTCCAAACCACTTACTAATCTTCACCATGTCACAGTTGAACTACTCACGCCTCAGTGCAAACAATGAGTCAGCTTCCCAGCGGATCAGGGTCCTGGGACCCTTGGGGCCACTTTGGGACGAGCGAGCCCACGCCATCCTTGCACAGGGCGTACTCGCTGTTGTTGCGGCCAGTCGACCAACCGCTTGGCCATCCGACGCATCGATGCCTTGTCCACAGACGCTGGGGACTAACCCGGTCGGCAAAGCGCCGCGGACAACTGCTCAAGCCTTCCGCCGCCCAGAGGCCCGCAGACGCTCTCCCAAACCAGCCCCAAAGCACGTCGCGAAAGTCACATTTTGTTCAAACGCCAGCAACTTCTCCCCAGAATCGGCAGTCGCGAGGCGCCCACGTCCCGGCCGGCTAGTTCCACAGCTGGTCGACGGTCTTCTTGAACTCCAGCCCCTTCTTCATCACGATGAACATTTCCACGCTCCGGGCCTGCTGCCGCCCCAGCCGCGCCAGGCTAATCGCCACATCCCCCACGCAGCATGGCGCCGTCTCGACCCTCAAAACGCTCCCGCCGTCGTCCAAGCCCACGCCGTACCACCTCCTGCCGCAGCACCCGATCTGCACCCGTCCGTCCGCCTCAATCGACGTCACGCGCAGGTGTCTTGTGGACGTGCGCGAGTTGCCGCAAAAGTAGCCCCTACCCACGGGGCAGCACAGATGGGCCTCGATGACCCCCACCCTGCCGTCGGGCTGGAAGTTCATGTACAGGAAGCGCCTGGCGTCGTCGGCGGGGGTCTCCCACTCGCCTACCAGCCGCTGGTAGGCGGCGTCGCCCGCCAGCTGCGGGGACGCCTTGGCGCAGCAGCAGCCCATGGCACCGGAGCCGCCGCGGCGCAGCGGCTGGGAAACGGCGGAAGGGCAGGAGCTGTTTGAGGGCTGGTGTGGATGCATCGATCCCCATATGGGGACCGTCGCTTCCGTCTGCTGCCCGGCAGACGGGGACACTCCTCTCACGTGCGCAAGCCGCTGCGTGGAAGCGACAGCGCTCTCACTCTTCCCGCCAGGCGGGGGCAACCTGTTGTGGTCCGTTATGAAGGCGGTTTTGCTGGTTGGGGGGCACGTTGGATTTGGGAATGAATCTGCAGCCCGCCCGTGCATCCATGGTGATCACAACCACTGTTCTGCCGATCGGCTGGCCTCAAGTTCGTCGCTGACGGTGATCTCACCGTGTGGGCCCAAGCATGCCACGATGCTTGTTATCTAAGCTTGTTAAATACTCGCGCACTTACACCTGTTTACGCATAAAAACAGTACTACTCGTATTTTTACGCGTAAGTGGGTGTAAAAATGCGCAAAAATGGGCCCTGTGTACATGAAGACAGTACATACAAACTCTGGGAGTCCGGGGAGTGGCAGCCAGACGCATTGGAGTGTGCAGAAAACGAACATTTGTTCGACGAGGTCATTGCCCCTACCGGAGCTGGACGCTGTGTTGCAGGTGCTCGAAGGGGCAGAGGACTGATCACTGTTTGGAACGTCATCATGTAACCTGCGTGTGTCGGCGAGCCGCATGAACGCATAAATATGCCCGTTTCTCTATTTGCGAGTTTTTGGTTGGATTCTGGTGCCCTGTTGAATCGATGTGATAGCATTACCAGAAGGCGCTGGTGTGACAGGAAATGTGTGGAGTTGGGGCAATGTCGGCACGGTGTGGCAAACGGAGGTGTAAGGGAAGACACTCATTTGAATTTTGTACGCTTCACGTCAAATTGACGTTAGCGGGGGCAGCCATTGACGCTAAGAGATTATGCCATTGCACTAAAAGCAAAATAAGGTGGGAAGATGCACAAAACGCCGCTGATCAGCGGCAGATAGCTCATGACATGCTGCAAAACCTCCCTCAAACTTTCAATCTTCAAGGAAGTCCTTAAAATGTACTTCCTCCTTCCCAGATTAATTGTCGTCTATGATTTCGGGGCATTATTTCTTGTGTTTTTGAGTTATGAGTACACCACAAAAATTTCACGTCAATCCATTATGTATTGAGAATTTGGCAGCACTTTGTATCAAGGGTCATGCTACATAGTAAATCTCAATATTTGGGGTCGAAAATGACCAAAAATTTACCTTCGCCTTGCGCTCAAAAGGGTCATGTCTCACTTTTCCTTCTTGAAAATTGAAAGTCAAGGGTTTTGAGATGCAGTTTTTTCGATTTTGACCTTGTTTTGAAATTCTGAGGCTGTCCTTATAACAAATATAGCCTTTCAAACAGACGACAATTAATCTGGGACGGAGGAAGTATCAATTTTCAGGCTGCCGGCTTGCCTCGATTCCCAAGCTTGGCTTTTGACATCCCATTTTTCAAACCACTGCATTCGCTACAACTTTGTCTGTTTCTTCCCCTAAAATTGTTTTTAAATTGTATGGCATTGTTAGGTAATGTTGCTGAGTCATCCTGGCATTGAAATAAGGATCGACATAGACAGCGGGGGGTTGGAGTCTGAGCTTAACGTCACACTGACGTTAAGCATGCAAAGTTCAAATAGCGTCTTCCCTAAGGAGGCTGGGCGTCACTATTGGAACATTGGAGATTGCAAAGTGAATGTGCTGCCAGCGTCCTTGCATGCATATACACTGCTGTGGGGCGACCTGCGAGGCAACTTTGCGGCAAGGTTTTAGGCATGGGGGTGGGGACATGGTGGGGCAAATGGACTGTAGAAGGTGCCTGTGCAGCCTGAGGGGCAGAGGATTCCACTAGGGAAAAAAAGGCCAAATAACACTTTTGCGAACACACATAAAACACATTTCATCATAGTTTTACACACTAATAACACAAAAATAACACAAACCCGTAAGCTTTGTACACATTTGACCACGTGTTATTTGGCCCTTTTTTCCTAGTGTTCTTTACAAACAGAAGTCTGGGTGTGCTGTTGAAGCCCTGTTGATTCCTTGTCCGTTTCGACTTTCTTGACGAGGAGGCAATTCCCTGCGTGATCACCAGGAGAAAAGGGCCAAGCAACACGTGTTCAAACGCGTACAAAGTTTATGAGTTTGGGTTATTTCCGTGTTTGTAGCATGCATAACACAGATGAAATGCATATATATAAATATATAATTTCGGGCCGCCCTTTTGGAAGATTCTCCCACTTCTGGAATGTGCGTGCATATGCAACGTGCGAATTCGGGGATGACAGCGGGAGAAAATGCTGGACGCGGGGGAGCGAGGACTCTCAGTACATGTTAGCCCATCGAAGCGGCTGCAAAAGACGCACGCCTGGCAGAAGAAGGGCGGCCGAAATGCCAAAACAAGAGGAGGGTGACACGCACATGTCCTCCCAGCTGGAGATGGGGGTGGGTGGGTGGGGGCGGGGTCGGTGGTTAGAGGTGTGACCGAATGAATGAGTGTATCTTCAAAGGGCAACCTGACGTTACGACACATTTGTCATGTCACGTGTCTCTGCTGAGCTGAAATCGCCAAACAGCGTCAGGTTTTTACACAGTAGGACGATGTCACATCAACGTGCCCCATTTGGTCACAGGCGTGGAGCCAGGTGTCCCCGGTAGGGATGTCAGCAGATTTGTCAAGCTGAGATGGCTGTCAGCAAAGGTGATGGCTTATGATAACGGCCAGCAAAGGTGATGGCTTATGATAGCGGTCACCTCCTGTGCATTGACATGCAAAACCTGATTGCAATCCCATGGTACGGAGTGATTACAACCTGTAATTTCGGTGCGTTCTGGCGCAACTTCCCATAGGGGAGCTGCACGCTGCGCTGTGAGAGGCAAGGTTTACGTGTTACACTTGGCCCCTCGAATGCTTGTGGCCATCGCTGCATATGCAGCGACGGCCATGTCTCTGGATTTGGCCAAATCTGCGCATCTCTATTGACCCGTTCGGTCCTAAAGTTGGCTACCCACTGTATCCACAAGCCACGCATCGACTGATACGGCCTCCTCAATGCACCAGTGGATAACGTGTGAAACAGCGCATTGTGTGGATCTGTTTTCAGATTCGTGCCTTTGCCAACAAAGACTGGAACTCTGAACATATGATGGGATCGATGACCCCTGCCGAGCATCCGCATCACCAAAGGACAGAGGGACAGCACTGTGTCGATTTGGCATGCTCAGCATCAATGATTCCAACTCTATCGAATCTCGTTTTCATTTGGGGGGACAAGGGGGAGGCCGGGCGATGCGCACTTTGAGTGTATAGTGTGCCAGCACCAAAACAGCGTCTTTCCCAAGTACACCAAAATGAAGTTTAGGCGGTACACAAGTTACCAAATGCCACACGTCAGAGTTGTGTGCAATGAAGCCAATGCCCTACAAAACACAAGAATGCTGTTGAGGGGCTTCTCTTCAGGGGCCCGCCTCCCCGGCAAGCTACGTAAGCGTCAGGTTCTGGCCAGGCATGCTCGTCCATGAAACAAATGATGTTGCATCAATTTAAAGCAATCCATATTGGAACGGACAACATGTACAACGCACTATCCGAATCGGCAGCGCCCAGGACGGCTACCTTCTACTCTCACAATTTATGCAAAAACTCCGCCCAACCAAAACAATTTTGGCAAAAGCCCTGATATATTGAAACATTCTGCACGAAGCCTTCCAGAGATCGTCTGGGGATTCTGCTGGACAGCAAAAGTTGTCAACTTGGCGCAGTCCCAACAGCAAACGGGACCGCCGACCACACTCCAATTTGCACCCCAGAGCGTCCCCCAAACAACAAAGTACACCCCTTACAACCCCAAAGTCATTAACTGCAAAGAAGTAATGCAGCGGCTGATGTACGCGTCTCACAGGTCCCTCACAATGCTTGCCACAACGAGGCAAAGGAGGCTTGTCCTCCCACCCCCCCTTCATCCCCCACCGCAAGGCAATGCAGCGCCGCCGCCTTTGATTGGGACCTCAGTTCATCGAGGTCTCGGGCGCGCCGGTGGGGACGCTGGCATGGGCATGGCTGGGCCAGTTGCGACCGCGCCCAATACCTGCGCTCCAGGGCCCGTCCGCCTCAGGTGGCCTTGGTGGCGCTCCTGTTGATGGCGCTGATCTCCGCCCACCGCCGCCGCTCCTCCGCCCGCTTGAGCCCCTCGTCCCTCCCCGCCTCCATCCGCCCTGGCTCCGCCCTCCCCCTGTCCTGCCCCCTGGCCCGCGCCACCCGCTCCCGCAGCGCCTCCTCCCGCCGCTGCCGCTCCATTCTCTGGCGCTCCCGGTCGTCCTCCGACGGCCCCGTCCACATGCTGTCCCCGCTGTCCACGGCCTGGCGCATCTTCAGCGCGCGCAGCTCCTCCCGGTGCCGCCTCTCCAGCTCGTGCCGCTCCCTCCTGTGCCGCTCGATGTCGGCCTCCCTCTGCGCCCTGAGCCGACGAACCTCCTCCTCCAGGTTCTCGGAGTCCGTTCTGGAAGGCGACATGCTAACACCGCGCATTGGCATCCCGGCCGGCGCCTCATCCCTCCGCCAGCCGCCCTGCCGCGATCCCTCGCCCTCCCCGTCGCCGGCGAAGCTCACCGAACCCCGGCGGCCCCCGTTCTGCTTCCCGACCGCCTGCAGTGCCTCCCTCGCGCTGTCCATCTCCACCTTGGGCACGCTGGGCCTCTGCGCCGGCCTGCCCGGGTCTGTCTCCGCCCGGCGCCGCCGGTCGGTCTCCTCCCACTCCCCCAGCAGCCGCCGCACCTCCCTCTCCTTCTCCTCCCGCAGCCTCTTGATCTCCTTGTTCACCTCCGCGTCGTCCTTCCCCTGCACCGTGATCATCCGGTCCATGAACGCCTTGTCCACCTCGCGCCGCACCTCCTCCTCCCGCTTCCTCCTCGCCCACGCCATCTGCCCCCTCTCCTCGTCCGTGTTGCACCTGTCCCCCAGGGACGCCGCCTCCATCATCTCCCTCAGGTCATCCACGCGGCGTTCGCCCTCCCGCTCCTCCCGCTTCTCCACCTCCACCAGATCGCGCGCTCGAATCCCTCTCCTCCCGGGCGACCTGACGTCCGGCGAGCGGCTGCGATGCGACAGCGACCCCGGGCCCTCGTGGAGCTTTTCCACGCGGCGTCTGTGGTCCACCCCGCCCTCGAAATCCGACTCCACCCCGTCCGACCTCCGCGATCTCCTCCTCGGCTCCGCGCTGCCGCTCCTGGGCGCCCCGCTTCCGCCCCCGCCGCGGCGACGATCCATCGTCGCGCTCTCCTGCAGTTTCCTCAGCTCCGCGTACCGTCTCCTCTTCTCCTCGCGTTCCTGCAGCCTCCTCTCCTCCTCTTCACCCCCGCGCCCGTCCGACCACGCTTCGTTGCGCCCCTCGGCGGCCATGCGCGCCCACCGCTGCTCCTGGGCGCGTCGCCGGGTGAAGGCCTCCTCAGCGAGCGCCCGCTGGCTGCGCTGGCTGGCCAGCGCCCGCCTGTTCTCCAAGACGCTCATCCCCGCCCCCTCGGGCTCGGGCACGTCCTCCTCGTCCTCCGCGTCGAACAGGCGGGAGGCCACCAGCCCCGGCCGGTTGCCGCTGCGCAGCCAATCCAGCGCCCGTGAGGGGGCCTTTTTCTTCCGATCCATTTCCGACCAAGGCGGTTTCGGAGCGCCTGTATTGTCGCGGGCGATCAGGGTCTGATTCGCCGCGCCGCTACGCGGCGCGGTACCGTGCGCCGTCCGGCCGCCCGCGCGTTCGGTGGCGAGTCGCGGCGGTGGCCCAGCCTGGGCGCCGGCACGTCAACTCGGCGGGTACCTCACCTTCATGAGCAGCTTGGAGGAAAACACATGTCGTACGAGTGGCGCGGGATTCGGCATCAAGAGGAAAGATTCCGCGCCTGTTCTCTCGGCCGATGCGGGCATTGGTCACACGTCGCCCGCCAGGGCGAGGCGGGCGCTGCTCTGATGTCGGCAGCGAAGCAGCGGGGGCCCGTGTCAGTGGCCCACCGGGTCAGTAGGGTCAGCGTGGTCGGCGGTGGGGTGCAAATTCTCGGGAGACATGTCCAAAAACGCATTTGCGCATCCCCTGCGCGGGCGTTGGGAGCAGTTGCCGACCGGTTCAGCAATGTGGCTGCCAGCTTTCCGCGCGGCGTCGCCGGTGGTGTGCGTCCTGCCCGTCAACGCGAGTCCGGTCAGCGGCTGCGATCTAGCCCCCAGGACGCTCGGCGGCAATGCACCACGTGGCCGTGTTCGGTGCCCGCGGCGACCATGCGTTGGGCGCCCGCGGCGTCTGCTTCCATGCATGCAACCACAGGATGACTGCAGTGCGCACGGGCGGGCCCAACGGTACGCCTGCCCGGCGCGAGGGAATCCTGGGGAGTGTCGATTCCAAGGTGGCGCACCGCACATGGGCGCACATTTGGGGCGCACCTCTTGGAGCGCATTGGGTTGCAAATGCGAATGCTGGCACGGGCCGATCTCGCCACACAGCAAATGCCATGCCCGCGATCCTGGCCCTCGCTTGCTCCTTTGAAGGCACGTGAAGGCCCCTGGAGGGAGTTTCCGAGAGTCTAACGTTCTGTCGCAACTTTGCGTTGTGCTCCCATCCCATCTACCCCTTGCCATGAGCGCGTCTGTAGCCTGGTGCATGGCGCCAAGATGGTAGGTGCAAGACGAAATAACCCCGCAAGGACTCTGTCGGGACCAGCCGCTCGTCAAAGACGTCACCTGATGTACCACTGCAATAAAAGTGGCCCCTTGCCGCCACTGGGTGGTAGTTGGTTCCGAGACCAGCCGGCGACCAGTCAGCTTCGCATTTTCCCATTACGGTGCCGTGACAAATGGTTGGGCCACGTACCTGACCGCTTGTGATGCGGCCACGATGCGGTTGCCAGAACTCCCTCTGCCAAACTGTCACTGGCGCCTCTCTGGCTGGGCAGCGTTAACGCCCACGAAAGGAGCGCCCGTGCCTCTCGAAAGACCCCACCGTCTTGCACGCAGTACATGGGAGTGCTCCATTGCTGCTCTCTTAGAGCATCTTTATCGGTCGGTGCTATTGCACCGGCGGAGGTATCCAGGAACGGTTCTCGTTGGCTGCCGTGCCACCCTGCCAAGGCGGCATTTGCTGAATAGCACGGTGCTATTGCTCCCCTGCACGCATCCGCAATGGTGGGTGCTATTCCTGCGCCAAATAGCGTCACGGCGGCACTACAGTGTTCTGCGCGAATAGCACCGGGTGCTATTCCGGGGTGCTATTTGGCCTCGAGCGGTGCTGTTCGGGCCCAGAATAGCAACGCTCGGCGCTGAATAGCATCGGCGGTGCTATCGGGGTGCTATTGCTCCCCAACCGTTAATGATGATATTCTGAGGTGCAGTGCTTTTCGAAAAGCCGAACAGCACCGCCGTGACAACAGCCCCCACCGGCAAACATGCTTTAATGGCCTGTCGCGCGGGCGCCATGCCGCACGTACAAAGGCACGCATCCGTCCAGACTTCACGGCATGCCCGAGAGGAACTCGCGAACGGCACTCTCGCCGCAAGGTCAGCTGAGTGTGGCAGGACCGGGCGGACGGCAGAGCAGGTTCGCGAGGCGCGTGACGGAAGGTGCTCCTGTCGCGGCAAAGGCGACAATCGGACTCCTAGCTTCTGGCGTAGCGCTGGCTTGGTGCGCCGCGGGGCTTGGGTCCCCGCCAGACCCACTGCACCCCCACAGTCTATCTTGGAGACCGCCCTGCCCACTCCTGGAATGCCAGTGAATCGTTGAGAGTGGCGGTGGTGCTTGCCCAGCGCCGGAGCACCCGATCCGCCGCAACAGCTGAAGAAACCGTCAGGCGCTAAAAGACGTCGGCCGCCGCGTGGAGATGGGTCTGGAATGCCCATGCCCAGGTGCAGGGCCAGCTGCGGTCAATGAAAACATGCCCGGCACTACGCGGCCTGGCTGTGGCCGGGGGCCATGCTTGACGGGGCCATAGTTACAACCGAACACTTAACATACACAAACATTTACCGGTCCGCAAAAATTGGAACACGTATGAGACGCTGCAAAACGGTAGGCCACGGGCGGCGCACAGCAGCCGTCCTCCGCTGCAACATATTCAGTACAGAGCCCCGCTCGCTTCGCTCGCCCACAACAACTTGGCGTCAGAAACGGCAAGCTTGGGACCCTGCTATCGCAAACGGCAGGCTTCAGATTGCGCCCATGCGGCACCTGCTGCCTCAAATCCGACGGCCCGAGCCGGGGCGCAGCCTCTGGAGTGCGCCACGCGCCTTTCGCCAAGAGGCGCACGTCCAGAGCGCTGTGTCTATTATTTGGCGCCGCCGCCAGTGGCGCAGGGCAACAGCGGCGCGGCCTAGCAGGTGGCCGTTGACCTCGTCCTTTGCAGCTCTTGTTTTAGCATGAGAATCTCCTGCTTCATCTGGTGGCGTTCCTTTTCAAGCCGCTGCAGCGACGGCACAGGACACATCAGCAGCTCATGTGAAAGAGACTTGAAGCCGCATCAGTTCAGCATGCCAATACTGCAGTGAGGACTGACATTATCAATGAATGTATCCCCTTCCGCGTGTACTTACTGCAGCCTCTGAAGCAAAGTTTTGCGGAGTGCCGGACAGCGTGCGCATCGATGGGAGGTCAAAAAGAATGGAATACAATCCATGCGCTGACCTTTCAGTGCATGTTTTCTTTTTCCTCTTTTTCTTTCATTCCCAGCTGGAAATCTCCCCACCGACATTGAGATTCCAGCCAAAACCTCAGGATTCCCTTCCCTGGGCAGCGCTGTAGTTCAATGCTGGACTACAGGGCCCGTTCGGGTTGCCCTTGTGTGCATCACCACTGCTTGCGTCTGGGCCAGCTGCACAACGTCCACAGGGGCTTTCTAGCTGCTCAGTTGGATAATGAACAACGGACAATGGACAATGGACACGATCCCACCACTTCACCCACGACAACAGCAACTGAAACAATGCTCAGCGATGGGGGGGAAAGGGAGAATGTGGAGGGGCGTTGACTTGTATTGGTGTCCTTGACTTGTACTCATTTTCCAAAACGCCACTGATCACTCCCGGGGCGCCATCCGGCGAAGTCCTCAAGTCTGCTAAACGCTTAGGTGGTGGACCATCCTCACAACGTCGCATTGCAAGTACTGTCTCAAAGCAACGCTACATATGCGCCTTTGGAGTCAGAAGATTTGTGCATGCATCACCATCGCACGTCACTTGCCTCGTTCTTTGCCTTTGTGTAGTCCACATTGAACTCTTCCGTCGTCTGCTTGAGCAGGGCGTCCATCTTTTCCGGCTCCCAGCCACACCTCGTCACGTCCTTTTTCAGTGCATGCAGCACAGCCTGCAGCTCCTTCTCACTCCGCTTGGACACCCTGAGCTGCTCCTGGAGCTCCTCGTAGGAGTCCCTGACCTTGTTCACCTGGCTCCTGAGGCGCGAGAATGACGACTGTGCATCCCGCAGGTCCTTGTCTTTCTCTACTGCAGCTTGTTCCTTCTCTTTGGCGACCCGCTGAAGGTACTTGCACTCCTGCAATCGAAGCAGTTGCGGTGTTGGCGCCATGCAGGGCGCCCAATCGATGCACTGGTGCTCGCAACGAAGATGGGCTGACTGGAGTGGATGCGCATAGGCTGCAAACTCTCTGATAAGCGATGGCGGAAAGGCACCCCAACAGCACTGCCACATTGACTCATAGTTCATGCTGTGACACTTGTATTTCAAACACGCCATGCATGAGGACATTTGGATCCTATACTTTGGTCCGCCAGTCTGACACGACGAGAACGAGAAAACTAGGGGGTGTTGAACCATTCCGAAACCACCAATGGTCCATGTCACCATGGCAAACACACCCCAGCCAACAAGTCTGTGAGTGACTGTGGGTGTGAGGGCGGTGTATGTGTACGCGAGAAGATATGCGATGCTGTGTATGCTGTGTACACTTTGCAGTGGCCCCCTTTGCCTGGGTACGGTTGTGGGCGACGGCGTACCAAGCGTCGACCAGCGCTGTTCATCGCGATAGCAGCTGAGCACAAACATAATCCAAGGCCGTCCACGGACTCCTGGCCCAACCCCGAGCGTCCCCACTTCGATATGAACAAATGTAGTGTACGGCTGCCCGCAAGCGTCCTCCCATCGATGTGCACGCAGCACATAGCTGTACGGCAAGTAAAAAAGCGCGGGCTGCCCCAAACACGGTCCTCGTCCCATGCAATTCGACCCATTTCGATGCAATCCCCTGCAGTACGTGCACCCCGCTTGCGGCCCCCCGCCCACCCGCCCCCACCTTAACCAGCCTTTCGTTGACCTCCCGCAGCGGGGCCACCCCCCTGAGGTCCTCACTCAGGTCGCTGTTCTCCCGCCTGAGCCGCTCGATCTCCTCCTGCATCCCCTGCATCCGCTTCTTCCAACCCACCTCCGCGTCGCGCATCCGCCCCTCGAACCGGTTGCACGCCACCGCCGTGGCCACCTTCGCCATGCGCGGCATCAGGCTCTCCGCCTCCGCCCGCCGCACCACCTCCTCCTCCACCTCCTCCCGCGCCTTCCGCGCCAGCCGCTCCTCCTCGATCGACGACGAGCTCGCCAGGTGCCGCCGCTTCTCCTCCCCGTACTCGAACATCCCGCCGTCTGATGACGGCGTCGACACCAGGGCGTCCCTGCTGTCCGGATCGCGCCCCTCCGCGAAAGCCAACTCGCCGCTGCGGGCGCCGACATCCCGGTTGGGCGCCTTCACGGCCGCCCTGCTCCCGCGCCCCGTGACCTTCCTGAGGTCTGCCACGCGCCGCCTGTGCTCCTCGCTCTTCAGCCGCTTCTCCTCATCCTGCTCTGAGGAGGGCGTCTGAGGCGACCGCAGCTCCTCCGCGGTGTCCCCCAGGCCCAGGGGCCTCTCCCCGCCCACCCCGCCCCCGTGCAATTTCTGCAGCCCGACGAAGCGCACCCGCCCCTCGTCGGCGCGCTCCCGCAGCTTCCGCGCGGAGCGCAACGGCTCCCTCCTCCGGCAATCCTCGCCGAGACTGTCCACCTCCGGCGTCGTCGACAACCGGCCCATCCGCCCCCCCTTGGCCACCCGGTCGTCGTCCAGGGATCTGGGAGTCGCCACATCGTCGTCGTCGACCTCCAGCGGGGCCGGCCGGTCGCAGGTCATGGTCCCCAGCTTCCGGACGGGGGCGGCATCCGCGTCTTCGGGCTCGTCGTCCTTGTCCTCGGCGTCGAAGAGCTTAGAGGCGACGAAGCCCGGCCGGCCGCCGCTGCGCAGCCAGTCCAGCGCACGGGACGCCGATTTCTTGTGGTTCTTCTTCTCCTTGCCCATCGCGACCGGAACCCACTGGGCGAGCGCAGGGTGTGGGGCGCCGGGCCCTTGCCCTTGGACCCCTGCTGGCGCAGCGTAGTGCCCGCTGTCGGGGCGCCCTTGCGCGCAAAGGGCGGTACTCGACTGCGAGAAGGGGCGGGTGGGGAAGCCTATGGGGTGCCGTGGAGGCGAGCGGGGTGGACTCCGAGGAGAGAATCAGGGAGGGATGCCGTACGGATGCCTTGCACGCAGGGGGGCCGAGGACAAAGGGGCGGAAGGCTGGGGACTTAGTGGGCTCGGAAGGGGGTAGTAAGCGCGCAAGGGACCCATCAAGGGCTTATCAGGTGACGGTGGCGGTGACGGGGATGGGCTATTTCGGTACTGCGCCCTTGGCGGGGTGTCATGGGCGCGCGGAGTCGGCCCCGTCACAATCATCACCCCCGTCGTTCGAAGGCGCGGGTAAGGGATGGTTACGTCCAGTAAGCTAGTTTACGGGAGGCCCGAAGATGGGCGGGCGAAAAAATTGCTACCCGACAGTGCTCTGTCAGCAGGGCGCCCAGTTTGCGCGGGAACATGCTGCTGCTGGGGCCCCAAGGGAGGCAACGGTCCTTGGGGCCGGGTTTCGGCTCGTTCGGGAACTGTTTGGCGGCGCCGAGGCCTAAGGAGGCGACGCGCCATCAGTCTGCACTTTGTTTTCTCGCTCCAACCGCTCTTGGTTGCAGCGAGCCCGGTCCCAATCGGGAACATTGCTTCGATCCTTCGAAAGGATCTGTTGCGCCGAGCCTCCGGCTCGTGTTTTGCACCCCTTCGGAGCTTTCCGGCTATCGCCTCGCTCCCCCATGCCCGAGGAGCCCACCCTCAGCCCCGCGGCTTTGGTGGCGGCGCTCCAGGCTCTCCTCACTCGATCCACCGGGGCTGCCTCTTCGGCACCCGCGGAACCCCAGACGGCCGAGGCGATCGCGGCCGCGGCCGCCGAGGACTCGTCCCGTCGCCTTGCGGCTTTGGCCCAGGAGTTCGGGGCCCCGCAGGATCCTTCGCTCTCCCAGCTCCTGGTTCTCCGCTCGGGCGCCAACATCGCCCCTTCTCCGCGGAATCCGGTGCCTCGGCCCCCCGCGGCGTTCGGCCAGTGGTTCGACGTCCTTGACACCGCCGACGGTCAACATCTTGCCCAGGCCTTGGGCCCCCGCTCGGGCTACTTCGCGGAGTATGCCAATTGGGCGCCGATCGTCTCCTTCCTCTACGATCTGCAGCTCCGCCTCATCGCCTTGGCGGCGTGCCCGGAGGTCCCCGCTGCCGTCCGCGCGGCCTTCGAGCCCATCGTCTCCCTCTACGCCCAGTGCACCAACCTCGCGGTCTCTACCTTGGCTGTTCGGAGGACGCAGGCCGCCCACGCCAATACGCCCCTCTCCGAGGCGTACAAGTCCCAGACCAACATTCAGTTGGCGGGATCGGCGGCCCGCTACACCACCGACCTCGAGCGCGAGACGACCAACTTGATCCGGGCCCAGATCCAGAAGGCTACCATCAAGGCGCAGGCGGACGGCGCCGCCCGGGCCCGCCATTCCAGCCGCGGCTCCGACCGCTCCGGTTCCCACTCGGACGGGGCCTCGGGGTCCGGCCCCCGCGGCCGCTCGCGCGGCCGCGGTCACGGTTCCGGGCGGGGTCGGGGTGCGCCCCCTGCCTCGGGCAACCCCTTCTCCGATTCATGAGCTCCGAGCGGGAGCTCCTTGCCATCGCTGTGGCCTTGCGCCAGCTGTGCGTTGGCGGCGGCAATGCCCCCCGGCCACGATCTTGCCCCCCCGACGGGGGCCCTTCGGCCGGCGGCTCCGCCACCCCGCCCCCCCTCGGGGAATGGGGCGCTTCATCTTCAACCCCGCCGGGCGATCGGCGTTTGGCGCCAACTGGGCGCCTCCTCCCTTGTCCTTCGTTGGATTCGGGAGGGTGTCCCGGTGGTTTGGACCGGTCATCCCCCAGCCCCGTTCCATCACGGGGTCTGCCGGCTTGCGGGGGATGCACTCACGGCGTGGGAGGCGCTGCGCGACACCTACCTCCAGACGGGCGCCCTCCGCCGCTCCCGGAGTCCCCCGACCCATGTCTCCCGCGCTTTCCTGGTGCCGAAGAAGGACGGCGGCTTCCGCTTGGTGGTGGACCTGCGGCACATCAACAGCCATACGAGCAAGATCAGCACCAAGTTCGAGACTCTCCGCTTCTTCCTCCCCGCCCTCCGACCGGGCCAGTTCCTTGTGGCGTGGGACATTCGCGACGCGTTCCATCATCTCCGGATCGAGGACCGC